CTTGTAGACGGATTGCAAGTTTTCAATCGCGTCACGCATCTCCTCCGAGAGATGTGCCCTTCCCCAGGGCGAATTTAGGGAATACACGTCCCTATGTGCACGCTGCGAGTTGTCAACACAACTAGCACAAGGGTCTTTCCATGTGAGGCAAGGAATGCCTGCCTCACTCGACAAACAGTGCAACCGGTACCTGGCACCGGTTGGCGTTCGCTTTTCGAACCTGAGGCGTGTCGCCTCAAGTTTCTTGAGCCACCCTTCTCGTCCAAAATTTTTTACGTTTTGGACGAACGCGTTCCACGCAGCCAAAAGCGAGGCTTTTTCACGCTTTTGGTTGCTGTTGTACCATCGATGTCTAAGGAAGACATCGAGATAAAAGTCTTCTTCAGCGCGAAAGTTGCTCGCGCTGGGAGTCAAGCCGTGAAGCTCAGTCGCATCGAATAAGGGTATTCGATGGTGTTGGCTTGTCTTGTGATACAAGCCATTGATGAGCCGTTCGGGCAAACGCCACGGCTTCAGCTCATCACGCTTCACGGTAGTACCTTTGTCGGTACCACGGTTGTCAGTATGACGATGGGTTGCACCATCGTCAAGTCGCTCGTGCGAAGGAGCACGAGCTGATTGCGGTGATGAGCAAACATACTCATCACCAGATTCGTCATCACTGCCGAACAGACTGTGTTGCAACTCACGAGTCCGTTCGTTTGGTAGTGGCCTTGGCGAACACTGAGGCGTCGCCGGTGAGCGAGAAGCCTCTGCAGCATTGCCCGAGTCAGACACGTCTGACTCGCCAGAGTAGATGACCTCAATGTCGGGGTCATCTTGCGCATGCGGTGCTCTACCGCGTGCACCTGCAGCACCTCTTGCTGCAGGCGAAGAACGAGCAGCAGACGCCGAATCGTCTGCCGCAGAAGCTGGCACAGGCACAGACTCTGTGTGCCTTGATTCACCCCGCATAGACATGTTAGCTATGCGAGGTCAAGCGGAAAGTGAATGGAACGGACCCAACAAGTGCTCCCTGTCCCAATGGTGACCAACGGGTGGCCGCCATTATTTTAGATAGTCACACAGTGACTATCAGTTCAGGGGGTGTGATGTATCGGGGAAGCCCGTTACATGGAATTGTCACTTTCTTATAAGTGACAATAAAGAATATGAAGTTGAACATTCTTTAAACAATATCACCGAAGCGGTGATATTGAAGGGTCGACCAAAGAGTCTGTTCATTGGTTGATATCTTGATGATATCAACCCACCAATCGCCGCAAGACGCGCGCAATGAGTGGTGACGAGACGTCACCATACATCCAGTTATATTAGCATGATTAAGTTAAGTCAAACAGAGAGACAGTAGTTAAAAGACTAAATTGTATTAATATAACAGTTCTGCTTTTACCCTACCTAAGCTTCCTCGCTTGCCTTGTGTACGTCTGTAGGGTCACCGATACCCTTGCGTTAAGTTCACGCAAGGGTGTGCCCCGTTACAATTCCCGTACATCCATCTGACTCTGAGTACCGGCGTTGCCGTCAAGATTCACGAGTTTTAAACAAAATAATGGTTTAATAGACAGGTCGAATCTTCTCTCCTTCGCCCGCGTATATGTCCAAGCATGCGACTGTGAGAATCAATTGTTCAAGCGCGCATATTTGGCAAAGTAACAGGCCTGGAAAATTACTATTCAAGCACGATGTAATGCTTTAAAAGTCGTAGCAACCTTTACTTCTCAGATAGAGGGTCACGCTTTGTGCCAAGGATGTCCACAGTATCGTTCAGAAGGCAAACAGAACGGCACTTGGTGGAAAATTACACACGGAAGCTTTGCTGTAACGGGGTAGGCCGTTACATGAGATTGTCATTAGAAGGATCTGACAATAAAGAATGTTACGTTGAATAATTTTTTAATAATATTACAAGACATGGTGGTATTGTTGGGATGACCGAAGGGTCTACTCATTGGTTGATATCGTGATGATATCAACCCACCAATTGCTGCTAGACGCGCGCAATGGGTGGTGAGTAGACGTCATCATACATATAGTTATATTTGTATAATTAAGTCAGGAAACAGAGATTCAAGGAGTTATAGGGCTTAATTATATTAATTACAGTTTTACTTTTGCCAGGAGACTAGTCTGACCACTTAGTCTCCTTTCCTTCCCCTGTGTTTTCCTTAAAAACACCTAGCAGGGCACTGTCGATCACTGTCGTAAGTGGAAGTATACTCCGTACTGGTCAACCAGTACGTAGTCAACAGTGCCCCGTTGCATTTGCTGCAGCCAATGGAGGACCATATTAATTTATCTACGGTTGCATTATCAAGCCGCAAGGGCATTTTAATTACCTTATTCTGTAATTTGTTTGATTTAGCGTGGCCTGGATCCGTTACGGATGCATTTCTGATCAGCTTATCCTGTAATATTCGAATTGACGTGGCCTGGCTGCGTCACCATTGTTGCCATATAAACATAAAGTCGAATGGATACGCGCTGGTGTATTTAGCAAAAGTGCCCGGTGTATTTAGCCTCTACCTATTTTTCCACGATGGTACAAACTCTCGCGCAAAAACCGCAAGTTTGTAGCAATCTGTTCGTCCGAAACTGTGACTGGGTCTGATTTAGATAAAACTTCACTCTGAGAAGGAAACATTTTTGTAAGTAAAAGCATGGTAATTTTCTAAATTATCTTGGTCATGTGGCTGAAAGTAGGGATGAAATTAGGGCGAGGCTAATTCACCTAGCAATATTGCTAAATACACCGCCGCCTATCCATTAGACTCAATTTTTAAATGGCAACCGTTGTATCACATTCAGGCCACGTCAATTCGAATATTACAGGATAAGCTGATCAGAAATGCATCCGTAACGGATCCAGGCCACGCTAAATCAAATAAATTACAGAATAAGGTGATTAAAATGCACCCGCGGCTTAGCACTGCAACCGTAGATTTAATGTTGGTCCTTCGTGTGCTGCAACAAAGCTTCCGTGTGTAATTTTCCACCAAGTGCCGTTCTGTTTGCCTTCTGAACGATACTGTGGACATCCTTGGCATTTAAAAGGACACACGCTTCCTTCTACTGGTTAACAATAACCTATAATAATCACATACAGACAAAAAAATGATGACCTGCTGTATATGACTTCGACACGCACACATACCCGTGGAGCAGCTCCATCCTGATGCATCTGGACGACCTTAGAACTAATATCGTCAATGTATAGCGTCGCACGTCGCGCCGCCGGTGGCGTTGAGAGCATGGTCTTGCTGATACAACGAGAGTGGCCGGTGTGCCAGTTGTCCACTAAAATTGTTGACCAGGCAATTTCTTCTGGGGCGCGCATGTCATACATGATCACGAGCTCGCATGAACAGCCGACTTTTTTTGTTCCGCGATCCCGCATTGACGCGTGCCGACTATGGGATCTCCTATGATGTTTTTTCTGCCAACATGTGAGAAAACTGCGCTTGGGACCAATCGAACAGCCGCGGGATACACTAATAGCAACGCCTTGGCGTACGGCGTCCTGCTTTAAAGTCTCTACAGCCGTATTTTGACTGTCAAAAGGCCCGACCGGTGAAGATTCTTCACAGATCCATGATATATCAGCGGCGGCAGGATTAAGGCCAGCATCAACTTAAAACGTAACCTTACTGTCAGCGACGACAGATTTAATATCAGCATTAACAACCGTAGCAGTTGATGCAGAAGTTGAGGAGGTGGACAGAATCAGTATCAGTATGAACGACCGTAGCAGTGGCAGCAGCACTAGTGGATGTGGATGAAGGGCTCATCATCGTGCGTTAGACAACGAATGATCTCTTTTTGAATTGACGTGGCTATGTTACAGGTATATTTCTACTTAGATTATCCTATAATATTTTAATGGGCATGGCCTAAATGTGATATAACTGTTGCCATATATACATTTAGTCTAATGGATAGGCGCTGGTGCATTTAGCAATAATGCTAGGTGTATTTAGCCTCTCCCATGAAATTAAGACAGGTGCATGAAGTGCTGAAAAGGTAACGATGTATGTATGTTGCGCTCAACTGTGAAGGGTGGATGGACAATGTTTACGATCACGGCCGAAGGTTCGTGTAAAACGATAGGCGGTGTTGACTCTGACCACAACAAATATAAGAAAAGAAGTTTATTGGGTCATCGGAATGTGCAGTCGAACATAAGGATGATTCTTCGAGATAAACATACCTATCAATCGTGAGATCCAGTTGCCAGAACGATCAACGATCGGTAAACGATTTTGATCACGCTAGGGTTCCGCGGATAAACATGCAACAAAGCAGGTTCTACACGATGTACAACCCATACTGACATACCACGTCCGTCTAGGCGCGAGAAGTGCAAAATCGATGTCCATAAGCAATATGGTACGTTTTTCAGCATCAACTCTTGACAAGATCTTTCATAGTCTGTTTGATGAATGTACTTCGTTCATTTGCTATGGCAACCATCCGTGCAATCTCGCCGTTGTCGAAATAATTTCGCAGATACGCTAACTAATAGAGTATGGATAAAGGGAAACAATGGCTACGCACTCACAAACAACTTGTTTACTGAAGGGAAACTTTTGGACTGAGTCTACTCAATGCATGTCTTCATGTCAGGAGGAATCTTCTACGAAATACCTTCCAGATAAACCTTCCCTGTAAAAGGTATTGTCAACTATACCTTCCAGATAAAAACCTTCCCTGTAAAAGGTATTGTCAATCGCCACCCTTTACTTCGTTGTCCACCGTTGACTTGCATCCAGTTTCCAACACTAACATTTCATCACCAGCAATAGCAGGATGCAGCTCTGTGTACATTCCGATGTAAAGAACCAACGTTTCCATGTTCTCGAACTTGAGACCGGCCGTCCTAGTATCAGGGGGCTTCAGAAGCTTATGGACATCCTCGACGGGTACTTTGTGCTGCAGCCAGTTCGTCAACATCGTCAGCTGTAGATGCTCAGCTTTCACTCTGCTCGCCGTGTCTTTCTTAGCTAAAGATATGGCGCGCGCGCGAGGTCGGACTCGTGACCATAGAACGCCAGCAGCAGATACAGCACCGTCTTTTCATCGCTCACTGCTTCACGGAATTTGTCAGCAACGTCCACGATCGAAATGGCACTATTTTCAAACTTCCAACGCTTCACAAGATCTCTCAAAATATGCTCGATGTAGGGCGACATCTCCATTGCATCCGCGATCATCCGTACTATCTCAACGTCTCCAAAGTAATGCCGTATATATATAAAAATATCCATGTGAGCTTTAGGATACAACTTGTTGTACAGTGTCATGTATTGAACCAACGTTTCCATGTTCTCGAACTTGAGATCGACCTTCCTAAGATCTGAGGGCTTCAGAATCTGATGGACAAATTGGACGGGTTCCAATTTTTGCAGCCAGTTCGTCAACATCGTCAGCTGTAGATGCTCAGCTTTCACTCTGCTCGCCGTGTCTTTCTTAGCTAAAGATATGGCGCGCGCGAGGTCGGACTTGTGACCATAGAACGCCAGCAGCAGATTCAGCACCGTCTTTTCATCGCTCACTGCTTCACGGAATTTGTCAGCAATGTCCACGATCGAAATGGCACTGTTTTCAAACTTCCACTGCTTCACAAGATCTCTCAAAATATGTTCGATGTAGGGGACATCTCCATTGCATCCGCGATCATCCGTACTATCTCGCCATCTGCAAAATGGTTCCATAAATACGTTTGGATATCCATGTGAGCTTTAGGATACAACTTGTTGTACAGTGTCATGTATTGAACCAACGTTTCCATGTTCTCGAACTTGAGACCGACCGTCCTAGTATCAGGGGGCTTCAGAAGCTTATGGACAAATTCGACGGGTTCCATTTTTGCAGCCAGTTCGTCAACATCGTCAGCTGTAGATGCTCAGCTTTCACTCTGCTCGCCGTGTCTTTCTTAGCTAAAGATATGGCGCGCGCGAGGTCGGACTCGTGACCATAGAACGCCAGCAGCAGATTCAGCACCGTCTTTTCATCGCTCACTGCTTCACGGAATTTGTCAGCAACGTCCACGATCGAAATGGCACTGTTTTCAAACTTCCACTGCTTCACAAGATCTCTCAAAATATGCTCGATGTAGGGCGACATCTCCATTGCATCCGCGATCATCCGTACTATCTCGCCATCTGCAAAATGGTTCCATAAATACGTTTGGATATCCATGTGAGCTTTAGGATACAACTTGTTGTACAGTGTCATGTATTGAACCAACGTTTCCATGTTCTCGAACTTGAGACCGGCCGTCCTAGTATCAGGGGGCTTCAGAAGCTTATGGACATCCTCGACCGGTTACATCGATCTTGCAGCCAGCTCGTCAACATCGTCAGCTGTAGATGCTCAGCTTTCACTCTGCTCGCCGTGTCTTTCTTAGCTAAAGATATGGCGCGCGCGAGGTCGGACTCGTGACCATAGAACGCCAGCAGCAGATTCAGCACCGTCTTTTCATCGCTCACTGCTTCACGGAATTTGTCAGCAACGTCCACGATCGAAATGGCACTATTTTCAAACTTCCAACGCTTCACAAGATCTCTCAAAATATGTTCGATGTAGGGCGACATCTCCATTGCATCCGCGATCATCCGTACTATCTCAACGTCTCCAAAGTAATGCCGTATATATATAAAAATATCCATGTGAGCTTTAGGATACAACTTGTTGTACAGTGTCATGTATTGAACCAACGTTTCCATGTTCTCGAACTTGAGATCGACCGTCCTAGTATCAGGGGGCTTCAGAAGCATATGGACAAATTTGACCGGTTCCGATTTTTCTAGCCAGCTCGTCAACATCGTCAGCTGTAGATGCTCAGCTTTCACTCTGCTCGCCGTGTCTTTCTTAGCTAAAGATATGGCGCGCGCGAGGTCGGACTCGTGACCATAGAACGCCAGCAGCAGATTCAGCACCGTCTTTTCATCGCTCACTGCTTCACGGAATTTGTCAGCAACGTCCACGATCGAAATGGCACTATTTTCAAACTTCCACTGCTTCACAAGATCTCTCAAAATATGTTCGATGTAGGGCGACATCTCCATTGCATCCGCGATCATCCGTACTATCTCGCCATCTGCAAAATGGTTCCATAAATACGTTTGGATATCCATGTGAGCTTTAGGATACAACTTGTTGTACAGTGTCATGTATTGAACCAACGTTTCCATGTTCTCGAACTTGAGACCGGCCGTCCTAGTATCAGGGGGCTTCAGAAGCTTATGGACATCCTCGACGGGTACTTTGTGCTGCAGCCAGTTCGTCAACATCGGGAGCTGTAGATGCTCAGCTTTCGCTCTGCTTGCCGTGTCTTTCTTAGCTAAAGATAAAGCGCGCGCGAGGTCGGACACGTGACCATAGAACGCCAGCAGCAGATTCAGCACCGACGTTTCATAGATCATTGCTTCACGGAATTTGTCAGCAACGTCCACGATCGAAATGGCACTATTTTCAAACTTCCAACGCTTCACAAGATCTCTCAAGACCATGTTCGGGTATGATGACTTTTTCTTCGCATCCGCAATCATCCGTACTACCTTGCCGTCGTCATAATGCTTCCGTAGACACTTTGCCGAATCTTCGTCGGCGCCAGGGTGCTTGGCTTTGTACAGTGCGATGTATCTGTCCAATGTGTCCAGATATTCGTAAGTCAAATCATTCGCTCCTAGTGTGTTGAGCTCCAGCAAGTAAAAAACTTCATCGACGGGTGTATCGTGGGCCAGCCACTTCGTCAACATTTCCGTCTGCAACAGCTCTGCATCATCTCCGCTAAAATGACCATTCTTTGCGATCGACAAAGCAGGTGCGAGTTTAGCTACACCACCATAGAGTAGGACTAGAAAATCCAGGAGTGAGAAATCTTTCTTATGAGCTGCGTTCCACGCAGCGACGTAATTTTTCAAAATGTGCAGATTCGCTGGGTACAACGTTTCAATATACTCCTCCGTTTGCTCAAAGGCCTCGACGCCGTCATTGCTCGAAAGATCACTCATTAGCTCTGATGTCTTCTTCAACGGTTCATTTGCCTGCTCCTTCTCAAAGGTTTGAATCAACTCCTTCACAGCGCGCAGGTCGTCGCGAGACAGCTTATCCAACACCACTCGAAGCTGTTCTGGACGATTTTCTAAATGTCCGGCATAGCGCGCCACAACACGGTCATCCAATTGTTTAATCCGAGCACAAACTTGTTCAGTGAGCGTATTGTCAGTTACGGTATGTAATTTTTGTCGAAGATGCATCAAAGCATCCCCTGCAATAGTTTCCATCCGCGAGAATCCCCCACTCCTTAATGACGCCCTCTCTTCCTCGTACAAGGAATTGTTCGCTCGCAGCAACCGGCTGTCAAGGAAGTCGCTTTTGTGACCGAAATAAGAGTGATCAGTATGGACATGCACCATCTTGGAGCCGGACGCCCCTGAGGAACTCGGAAAACATGCCAACATAGCAGTGGCAGCCAGCATTTCGACGGAGTACGTGCGCATTTTCGAGCGATGTCGTGCTGATCGTACGCGTACGGAGCGATGCAAAAGGACCCGAAACACGACTGGCAGAGCCGCCCGATGGCACTGGTCGGAAGCCGGTTCCTTGTCAGCCAACCACTCAACTATATCGCAAGTGCCGTCCTTTTTCTCCTACAGCTACACCACAGTTCCATCAACGACATTAAATATTTTTACCTATAATAAACAAAACTGATTTTTCTCGCAAAGCAATTTTTAAGCTTTTTTAGGTGTAAAAAACAGACAGACATTCAGCAACTTCTTATTTACATCGAAATTGAAGCTACAAATTGGTATGTTTTTATAGACCTTTAGATAAACGAATTTTATATCCTTTTCATTTCAACATTAAATGAATTAATAAATATTCTTCAAATTAATAAGCGAATACTGTAAAATTAGAGAATCCAATTATCAGAATAATATATGTAAATACACTTCTAATTTTTATATGAAAAGCGTGAAGTGGCTGCCTTGGCATTAATTCAATTGTTTGGACGTAAGGAAAGCGAAAAGCTGTATCAAATTTACTTTTTATTTTAGAAAAGATTTTTCCAAAGCCAGTCCATATATCGCTACACCGATCAGCATGGGGCGCTCGCACCTTCGTTGCAGATCGTGCACCAAATTATGCGGTACATAGAAAGTGCAGTGTGGGTGACATGACGGGCACTAGTTCTCGTGTAAAGTCTCATCAGCATAGGTCACATGGTCAGTAACGACTTTAGAAACATGTGTCAAAAGAGTCGAAGAAAGCAGCTGAAACTCACGACAAATTACGTCAGCGCGCATGACGCCGTCCACGTCAATGGTCGTCGTTGGCACCATTACCAACACACTCAAAGGAAAACGCGTTCTTTTCGTTTCGTGTAACGATCGTTACAGTACCGCAATGTTTGCTGCATATGCAATTCGCAGCAATCACACAGCCGGACTAGATAAAAAATACTGACAGCACGAAATTGGCGAGAACTCCCATAGCATATTCTCCGCAAACCAACGCAAAGCTGTCCGACTAGACACACGCCTCCTTCTACTGGTTAACAATAACCTATAATAATCACATACAGACAAAAAAATGATGACCTGCTGTATATGACTTCGACACGCACACATACCCGTGAAGCGGCTCCATCCTGATGCATCTGGACGACCTTAGAACTAATATCGTCAATGTATAGCGTCGCACGTTGCGCCGCCGGTGGCGTTGAGAGCATGGTCTTGCTGATACAACGAGAGTGGCCGGTGTGCCAGTTGTCCACTAAAATTGTTGACCAGGCAATTTCTTCTGGGGCGCGCATGTCATACATGATCACGAGCTCGCATGAACAGCCGACTTTTTTTGTTCCGCGATCCCGCATTGACGCGTGCCGACTATGGGATCTCCTACGATGTTTTTTCTGCCAACATGTGAGAAAACTGCGCTTGGGACCAATCGAACAGCCGCGGGATACACTAATAGCAACGCCTTGGCGTACGGCGTCCTGCTTTAAAGTCTCTACAGCCGTATTTTGACTGTCAAAAGGCCCGACCGGTGAAGATTCTTCACAGATCCATGATATATCAGCGGCGGCAGGATTAAGGCCAGCATCAACTTAAAACGTAACCTTACTGTCAGCGACGACAGATTTAACATCAGCATTAACAACCGTAGCAGTTGATGCAGAAGTTGAGGAGGTGGACAGAATCAGTATCAGTATGAACGACCGTAGCAGTGGCAGCAGCACTAGTGGATGTGGATGAAGGGCTCATCATCGTGCGTTAGACAACGAATGATCTCTTTTTGAATTGACGTGGCTATGTTACAGGTATATTTCTACTTAGATTATCCTATAATATTTTAATGGGCATGGCCTAAATGTGATATAACTGTTGCCATATATACATTTAGTCTAATGGATAGGCGCTGGTGCATTTAGCAATAATGCTAGGTGTATTTAGCCTCTCCCGAAAAAATACCAACTTTATCCGGTGACGTTTATACGCCTGTAATAAGGCTTCATATATTGTATCTGCTTCATCGGCTTGTGTCTCTATAGCGTATTCGTTTTCATGGACAAAAAACTTTCAATCATACGACCGTACCCGATCGAGCGATTTGGTTTGCACGTCCACGATGCTGTACTCTTTAATCGCACCCATACTTACGTGCCTGATGTAGAAACCTATCCGTCATTATAGCGTCATCGAAATCCAGGCGATCTGAAATTTCGACTGTCAACATACGTTTCGCTCGACCAGGACTGGCAATCATCATCTTTTGAATTTGTCATATAAGATTTAGAAAGTAAAAGATGGGGTGTACTCGCGACCATTGATTGTACTGCAGGCGGCTGCATATTTCAGCAAATCAAGATTTCCATACCACATATGCGCCAAACTTTCCTGTTCTAGTCACATCCATTACAGAATAAGTAAGGATTTGTATTTCATAATTACGTAGGTGTTTCGATTCTGATGCTTAAGTAATGGATAAGAAGACGAGTTTCCGACCGTCTAAAGTCCACCAAGTAGCTCACAGGAGCCGAGAACTTTCTCGTTTATAAGAGGAAACGAATCATATTTACGAGTATAATACAACGCTTTATCATAAGATTATAACAAGCTATAACGTATTGCGGTGGAGTCGTTATCAATTCAGCGTAAATATCCTTACATATTTTAACTGATCAGAATCTATGATACACATTCATCTTGTGCTCTTCTATTTCGACATTCAGCTGATAGTCCGGTCATGATTGCACTTCAAAGACTCTTGTTATGAATACAACACCGTAGTGAATCCCATTTATGTGTTCATCGCTTTAAGATGGCAATAATGTGCAAAACATGATGCCGCTATCAGACGCTAGTAGAGAATAACAGCTTAAATACACAGAACCGACCGTAAACGGATCGATAGCGGAAGTCAATCGCTCATCATGATCTTCCCAATTCTGCTAATTTGCTTTGTTTCATAGATCTATGATTTATAGCGTTCTCGTTTACATTTTACTAATTTTCTGTCGATAATTCAACATGACATATTGTCTTTCGAAAAATTGGCTGACAACCCGAAGAATTATCCTTAGAAGACCGACAAGATCCTGGTGAACCGTCATGACGTATTGCTATGCTAGCGTCGAATCGTAGAAAAACGCGTTCGGTACATTCATCGTATGTGTTATAAGTAGTCTAGAAGAAACGTGTCTTCGCGATCTCCTGCTATAAAAATAAACCCTGATAACAAAATAGCACTTTTTGTGTACGAACTTAGCAACACGGTCATTTTATCTATAGCGATAGCATCAATTTATACGCAATATATTGCTTGCAAATTCTCTGGTGAATTAACTCAACTTCAGTGGTCCCTTTTCATAGTAATGGAAACTGCACACACGTGTGTGTAGCGCTGAACAATGTGTTTCACACTCGTAATGTGGCAATTGATTTAATGTCGCTGATGCGTATGGTCAAATTCTTATCCGCCCAGCTCAAATCACAAATCTGATAAAAAATGAAATTACAAAACAATCATATCGCGGTATTTTGGTACAACTGGACGAACCATTGAGGTGTGATGTTTAACTATATTGTCGATTAAAGTCACAAAATTACAACTTGCTTTTATTACCGTCGTGTGTGGACCCAATTATGGACCTCGAATTTACTTCGTTAGCGGATATAAACTGCACATATTCGATCAAGTCTATCTTCAATGGATATATCCAGTGCTTTTCATCTTAGGCTTCCCTTATTCAATCGACCTATACTTTCTTTACGATATCTTGTCCTGTGACCTCTGATGGCGGCCAATATCTTGTGGTTATCTCGCGATCTCATGTACCTGAATGATTCGATCGACATGCTCCTATTTCTGCAATAAGTATATGCGGTCAAATGATTAGAAACTATAAATCTCCTATTATCCACGTGAACCTTGCCCTTCCTATGCCTTAATGATACAAACAAGCCAAATGGAGATCTGGTTCCTGTGGTGGAACGGGGTTCACAAAATTGCTGATGTGATCCCGCCTCTTCACTGGTGCCCAGACGACCGACTATTGTTGGGGGTACTCCGTTCCGTTCTTGATATCTTCCTCACCTTGTGTACCCGTCGGAAGGGCAAGTTGCACTCTTCTCGGCGGAATTGTGTCGATGCCTAGCTTGACCGTGGTTGGTGATGGGGTGATCGCGTAGGAATCCTCACTTGATCACTGGTTACTTGGGGTACTTGATATGAAATACCCGGATCTCGTTGAGATCGCCCTTTCCAAATGTAGATCTTGATTTGCTTGACCTCCTGGCCACTTGAGCCGTCCCGAGATCTTGACCCCCTTGCGTTCTTGCTGCGTCCTATCGCAGTTGGCTTATTGTTTGTGAGAGTCCTTGTATGCACCTGGCCAAATAATCCAGATGCGATACTTGGGTAGACGTAGCGTGGTTCTTGATCGTCGAGAGGCCAACGATACTGCTTGGAAGAAGCGACGCGTGTCTTTTAAAGTTAATTGAACTATTTATTAAGCTAGCCAACCATTTTGCTTAACCTACGATATAGTCTATCTATACAGGAGGTACCTGACATGTGTCTCCAGTGAAGCACCCCTGTCTCTTGCACACCGTTGGTCCTTTGATTTATCCCCTACCCCTAACTTGGATCTGTATCCTGTATCCCACTCTTGATCAGGATCCACCTTGGCTAGAATCCGGATCCCGGATTCTTTGATCGTGGTCCCTGATCCTCTCTTGGTCCGGATCCTGCATCCACTCCCAACCGGATCACCTCTCAAATTGGATTCCTCCTCAGACCGGATCATGTAATGGGTCAGGTATGGCAGTTGTGATCCACCCATCCAATTCGTGCTTGATCGGGGTCTATTGGTAATCCTCCTTCAGCTTTTCTTTATTTTCTGATTCGCTTTTTCACAATCGTCCACTGTACCTTTAGCTGACCGACAGTGTTAGTCTATCTGTACCCTCAGTCCGTAGCTTATTGGCATAATCAACCTTTCGGTTACTCCTTATTCGAAGCAGAAATCTGCATTGGAGTATTCGGCTTTAACTGTAATGGATCCGCCCGACACGTTGGCCCTCCTCTCGGACCTACTGACCTTCAATATAAGGTCGACGGATCCTGACTCGCCAGATGTTGTACAGGCGGATGAGACAATCCTTAATTCTCCGGTCCGGTCTCCCCTCCGAGGTCGACGAATCCTTCCAGGTATCATACTGCAAAGGCATATTCCGAAGTCCTCGTTCCCGACTCGCGTATTGATCCAGTCGCGGGTCCAAGTCGGCAGGAGGTGTAGGATCTGTTCGCATGCTTGTCCGATCAGATCGACACCCAGAAAACGATTACTGAAAACACGTTTGTGAGATGGAAGGACCCGCAAGGACCAGCTCGAGAAGCTATTGCGAGGTCTGCATTCGTCCGCGACTCCATTTGTGATTTTCGTCCAAAAACAATACGATCAGTTGCGTCAAAATTACCTGGAGGCGGGTCGGAAGCGTGACGACTACCATCATGATTTATTTCGCGCCATAATCAGGCCGAAGAGATCAAGCATCTCAAACCGTGCTCCACAAGGCAAAGATCGAACGGCACATGATTCAAGACAGACTCAAACGGCGGCTGGCATCGGCGCAGAAAGATTTGGCTTCC